GGTATTTGGATATCAGGTCGGTGAGGTAGTTTTGGGCAGTATTACGAATAGCTTTGTGCATCAATGTTAGTAGTTTGAATTTAATGCGTTGGGCAATCAGAAGCCAGTGGAGGGAATGACAGAGGGGGGTGGCAGAAGCGGAGCGGTTGGTAAGGTGGATGAGTCTGGCTGCTGAGTTCAGGATAGACTGAAGCGGGGATAGCCTGCGTTGGGGTAGGCCAGTGAGAAAGGAGTTGAAGTAGTCGAGTCGTGAGATAATAAGGGAGTGAACGAGTTATTTAGTAGTGTCTGGGGTTAGGAACGAACGTATTTTGGAGATGTTGTGGAGGTGGAGCCTGCATGGATTTGCCAGCGATTGGACATGGGGTTGGAAGGACAGATTGGAGTCTAGAGTGACACCTAGGACTTTGGCTTGTGGGGTGGGACTGATGGTGGCGTTGTTGGTCGTGATGGAGAGGATGGGGGGTGCGGGCTGGGGGGAAAACTAGGAGCTCGGTTTTGGAAAGGTTTAATTTGAGGAAGTGGAGTGACATCCAGTCTGATATGTCGTTCAGTAGGCAGGTGATTTTGGTGGAGACTGAAGGGGTGAGGTGGGGGGTAGAGAGGTAGATTTGCGTGTCATCAGCGTAGAGATGGTAGTTGAAGCCGTGGGAGTGTCATCAGCTGGCCAAGGGAGGAGGTGTAGATGGAGAAGAGAAGGGGCCCGAGGACAGAGCCTTGGGGGACAGAGAGGGGGAACAGATAGATAGGATAGATAGATAGATGATAGATAGATAGATAAATAGATACTGTAGATAGATAGATAATAGATAGATAGATAGATAGATAGATAGATAGATAGATAGATCCTGATAGGTTCATCCTAATGGTACTTCAGTTCCACAACGGTATGATGGCTCGTGTTTTGAATGACAAAGAAGCTTCAGAGGCCTTTCCTGTTACAAACGGCATCAAGCAAGGTTGCGTGTTGGCACGGACCTTGTTCAGCATAATGTTTTCAGCCATGCTGTCAGACGCCTTCCAGAACAGTTCCTTGGGATTCAGCCTGATATACAGGACCGATGGGAAACTGTTCAACCTGAGAAGACTCCAGGCTGTCACCAAGGTGAAGGAGACTGCGCTACGAAACCTCCTTTTTGCTGGTGACTGTGCCCTGAATGCTCGATCAGAGCAGGAAATGCAAGCCAGTGTGGACAAATTTGCAGCATCATGCGACAGCTTCGGCCTCTTCATCAACACAAAGAAGACGAAGAAGAAGTGATGCATCAGCCAGCTCCGAAAACCCAACACCAAGAGCCCACTGTCACGGTGAAGGGACAAAAGCTGCAAACAGTGGACCAATTTACATACCTTGGCAGCACCCTCTCCCGAGCAGTGACAATTGACATCGAGGTCACCTGCCGAATCGCCGAGGCAAGCTCTGCATTTGGCAACCAACATGTTGGACCGCTGTAGAATAAGCCTTGCTACAAAGCTCAAAGTAGTCTACCGAGCAGTAGTCTGACCAACGTGTTGGACCGCTGTAGAATAAGCCTTGCCACAAAGCTCAAAGTCTACCAAGCAGTAGTGCTAACTACCCTGATGTGTGCCAGTGAGACTTGGACTTTATTCAGGAGGCATGCTAGGCAATTGAACCACTTCCACATGACCTACTTCCGCAGACTTCTGAGGATCTGTTTGCCAGACACAGAAGTCCTCTCCAGAGCAGGCCATCAGTTCACACCACAGGTGGGACTGACCATTGACCGAGTGCCCGGGGTCAGTAGGGGGCCCCATGAGATGCCCCTGGTACCTTTCATAGACTTTTTGGGGTGTGGTTTGAGTGTGGGCAAGGACACAGGGGCCCCATGATCCCCTATTGCCCGGGGGCCCCATGAGTTGTCAATCCGCCCCTGGTTCACACCCTGCTGATGAAAGACCAGACACGCTGGTCAGGCCATGTCACAAGGATGCCAGACCACCGCATTTCTAAACAGCTCCTCTATGGTGAGCTGTCTTGAGGAAAGCGATCTCACAGGGGACAAAGGAAGCGATACAAAGACACATTGAAAGCCTCCTTCAAGTCCATGGATATTGACACCACCTCCTGGGAAACCCTGGCACAAGATCGATCGACATGGCGCACACTGATCCACCAAGGCTACCAGACATTTGAGGAGAGAAGAACAACCACAGCACGAGAGAAGTGAGCTCTCCACAAAGCCAGAGATGCAAATGCTGCAACAGTGGTGCCCACATATGTCTGTCCGACTTGTGGCAGAACATTTCATGCTCTTATAGGCCTTCCCAGCCACCTACGGACACACCATGGACAGCCTATTACCTGTTAGATGTCAAGATCTTCTGCGAACACGAAAACTATCGTTCAGATCTTCTCATATCAGGCTAATGCCAATCCATCACCTTTAATGGAGGAAAAGCAATATGCCGCAAAAGGGATAAAGTGACAAAAAAAAGCAAACACGTGATATAAAAAGTAGATAAGTGAGTGATCTCCGTATTTTATAAATGACCGCGCTGATGCAATAATGAGCCGTCATTTCATGGGACATTATGTATCTGACGGGAAAGTTCAGATCCGTGTTATTTCCCGGGAATCTTCCCGACACATTCTATAGAACTTTATGAAGAAATGATCCCACTGCTTTGTTCAGTGAGAGATGACAGCTAATTGAACCTATACTGGGAAATCTATATAATGGGGATAAGTAATCTGTAATGGGGGGAACTTTGAAAATGTCACTTTGCCTGCTTATGAGGAATACGAGGTGTGACAATAAAAAAAGGAAAAAAAAAAGCTTACCTATACATTAGCAGATGTTGTCACCTTCAAAGTTGTCCCCTTGTGAAGCAACGCACTTTTCTGGATGACTGTGCCCAGGGGTGGACTGACAACTCATGGGGCCCCCGGGCAATAGGGGATCATGGGGCCCCTGTGTCCTTGCCCAAATTAAAAAAAGCCTATAAAAAAAGGTACCAGGGGCATCTCATGGGGCCCCCTACTGACCCCGGGCTATCGGGCAGTGCCCGAGTTTCCAAATGGTCAGTCCACCCCTGATCTGTGCCACTGACGGAAACATTCCTGGAATTTGTTTTCTGGAATGCTGCTCAGTATGTTGCGGCGTACTGGATGTCCGAAATGTCATCAAACCTGGGTCCTTTTTTTTAGAATTTTTTATTATTTGAAACAGTTTCATCAGTACAGATCTATGTACAGGAACACATTCTAATATATCATGGCTGGATGTTACATAGGAACCAATATCAGATACATAACAACATTAGCCCAGGTAAGCCTGCATACAGCAAGGCCAGTGAGCATCAAGATGTCACAGTCAAGGCCGCGAGCGGTGCCAGATCAATGTCACAGGGAAAAAAAGTCAGCTGAGTACATTAGAAGTCAGGTGCAATGCTTTGGCCAATCACAGAATAGGATGACATCACAAGGGGGTGGGGTGAGCCCCACCCCCTTGTGACATCATGGCATCCCACATGGAAAAAAAATATATTTGAAATATATATGAAAAATATTCTTTCCAAATATATTGACATATATTTGAAATACTACAATTGTGGTCATATTCAATATTCATATATATATTATATATATATATATATATATATATATATACACACGCCCTGTATGTTGAAATGCTTTTTTAGTACAAAATATATGAAAATATTTAAAAAAATACATTTTAAAATATACCGCATGTATTTAAAAATACATTTAACCTACATACATTTTTGGAATTAATTTACAAATATATGTAAAAGTGACTTTTTTAAAATCTGAAGAATATATTTAAAAAATATATATTTTTAAAAATACTTTTCATATATTTTGTAATATATAAAAAAACACCTTTCAACATGCAGTGTGTATATATATATATATATATATATATATATATATATGTGTGTGTGTATGTGTATATATATATATATGTGTGTGTGTGTGTGTTATGTATATATATATATGTGTGTATATGGATATATATATATATATATATATATATATATAAATATATTGAATACGTCCAAAATTGTAGTCTTTCAAATATATGTCAATATATTTGGGAAGAATATTTTTAAAATATATTTCAATTATATCTTTCTCCCATGTGGGATGGCAGTAAGACTCAGTAAGAACTGTCATTGCAGGCACAGCTGTCAGACTGCAGGAGCCAGTGTTGCGAGTGGAGCGGTTTTTTTTTTTCTTTTTTCGGGTAGCGGTGGCAACGGGCATCGCAAATGACTTTGGATCTACTTCAGGGGCCATTTTTTAAATTTTTATTTTTAATAAAGGATTTGTCAAAAACTGTCTTCTGTCTTTTTTACACTAATCTTTTTTTTTTTTTGTGAATGGGTAGCGGTACCACGTACCACATACTCATTCACATGGGGGGTCGGGATCTAGAGCCCCCTTGTTAACAGGGGTTTCCAGATGCCGAAAAGCCCCCCCGTCCGCAGACCCCCACAACAACTGGCCATGGTTGTGGGGAAGAGGCCCTTGTCCCCATCAATGTGTGCGCCCCCTACCCGGAAATGTAAAATAACATATATATGTGATTTTGCGCACCTGTGCCTCCCGGTAGTGGTATATCTGCTATAGGGCGGCTCGGAAGCGGTTATAATATTAATAAATATATTGTTATAGAATATTTGTTTTTTATATATATATACAACTTAGGAGAATATAAATCCAGTGGACTTTTGATTCATTTATGAACCTGTATAAATGCAGCATTCAGTAGCATTGCCATAGTCAGAAGCAGGAGAGTCCGCAGTAATATGTTTACCACACAATATCAGTTTTATGTGTCCCTGGCTGACGCAGAACTGTCATAAAGTATATAGAATGCTGAGAGCACAGGACATCCTGCCATTGCCGAAATGTTTCATTCCGCTTGTCTAGTTTAGTGCAAGTAATAAGGAAAAACAAACTGTTGTGTATCAAGCTACGGACCTGGGGGGTCAGTCCGGGGAGCCAATATCTTGGTAGTAAGCAGGGGCGGACTGACCATTTGGAAATTCGGGGCACTGCCCGAGGGCCTGGGGTCAGTAGGGGGCCCCATGAGATGCCCCTGGTACCTTTTTCATAGGCTTTTTTGAGTTTGGGCAAGGACACAGGGGCCCCATGATCCCCTATTGCCCGGGGGCCCCATGAGTTGTCAGTCTGCCCCTGGTAGTAAGAGCACTGGGGTTGATTTACTAAAACTGGAGAGTGTGAAATTTGGTGCAGCTGTGCATGGCGGCCAATCAGCTTCTCACTTCAGCTTGTTCAATGAAGCTTTGACAATAAACCTTGAAACTGATTGGTTTCTATGCAGAGCTGCACCAGATTTTGCACCATGCAGGTTCAGTAAATCAACCCCACTGAGTCTTCATGTCACCCCCATCTCCTGATGGACACTTAGACCCAGGGGTGAAATGTGATTTCTGCAATTCCTAAGCCAGCAGTATTCTGTGAAGTTCACAATGCAAGAATACAAAGGCTGTAGGCACAAATGAACAAGTGAGCGGCATTCATGTTACATCTTTGACCGTTCTTGACAAAGCAGTGATCATACATTGCGGTGTCAGAGCTCATAGATCGTGGTCTTCAAGTTACTATCCTCTTGCCAAATCCTGCCTGCTGCATTATTGTATCCTGCCCCCTGATGTAAGAGGAGACTCTAATGGAGAGGTAAGGGAGGATTCATGGGTACTCATTAAAGTCAAGTCCTAGAACTGAACCAGGCTTCCTATGGGGGACATGGGCAGGATTATTCTATATAAGATGGTTCTGTTACCCATGATACTGTGGAGGTTATTTACTAAGACTGGAGAGTGAAAAATCTGGTTAAGTTCTGCAAAGAAACCGATCAGTTTCTGAGTTTTATTGCCAAAGCTTCAATGAACAAGTTAGAAGCTGATTGGCTACCATGCACAGCTTCTGAGTGCTCTAGTTTTAGTAAATCTTCCCCTATATGTCCTGTGGAACCCCTCTATGTACTTGCTTCTCAAAATCTTGATGGATGCCATGGGTAACAACAGACAAAAATTACTTTGGTGCACTCTTAAAAACCCCACTAATCCAGGAGGAGCGACTCTACCTGACTTCAATTCAAATTACTTAGTTGCCCAACGTTCCCGCTTTTACCACATAGATAAATCCAATAAACTACTCTATAGCTTGTTCACTGAAGCTAAATCTTCAATGAACAAGTTAGAAGCTGATTGGCTACCATGCACAGCTTCTGAGTGCTACAGTTTTAGTAAATCTTCCCCTATATGTCCTATGGAAACCCCCTGTGTACTTGCCTCTCAAAATCTTGATGGATGCCATGGGTAACAACAGACAAAATTACTTTGGTGCACTCTTAAAAACCCCACTAATCCAAAAAGGAGCTACTCTACCTGACTTCAATTTATATTACTTAGTTGCCCAATGTTCCTGCTTTTACCACATAGATAAATCCAATAAACTACTCTATCTGTCCCTAGTGTGCTTCTGTGACTCAACCTCCCCCACAACCCCTCCAGGTGATATTGTGTGGAGTGCACAGCTCAGACATGGCCCTCAATTGGGTGAACCTACTCTACCACCACCAACGTGTCTGGGAGCTGCTGACACTCAAAATGGATCTCCCAAAAATTCATGCTTTCGCTCCACTATTGTATATAAACTACCTGAACTTTCTTCCCCACCGAACCTGGACATCCTGGCATCTAAAGGACTTTTGTACTTGCACCATGTCTTGCAGGGAAGCCATCTTAAGACTTTTTCAAATGTTAAAATATGAGTTCTTCTTTGCCCAACTTTATGTTTTTTCATTACCTCCAACTCTGCCATGCTCTACATACTAAATTCCCAGGCGAATAGCCAATAACAACCCCCAATCTCTTCCCTCAAGCTATTTTCTGGCTCTGACCCTAAGAAGTTAAATTCAACATTCAATATCATCCTAATTACTCCTTCTGCCACAAGAATAGCCTACCAAGCCAAGACCCACTGGGATGCGCAGGTTGGGGGTTTGGACAGCATAGATTGGGACGAGATTTTGGAAAGTTGTAAATCCGTTTCCCCAAAACTTTCAGACTGCTTGACATAGTTATACATCCTGCATAGAGCTTATTTCATCAAAAATCAGGGAAAGGGGAAACGCTTGGGAGTCCACACACAATATCTGAAAGTGAGGTGCCACCAGGATATCTAGAAGGGCGCTACTTAATCAACTGTCAACAAAACAAAACAGACAAGACAAAAAAGGATGCAAGCCTAATTGGCTAACCTCATATGAATTTTATTATACACCATAAAAAGTAATTAACCATATGAGGTATGACAAACAATCCTACGTAACAGAGAACACGGTGATAACTCTCCGAAATCCAAACCCAAACAATACCCACCCCACCGATCACTCCCCCCATCACTGGGGGGGGGTTGGGAGTGATCAGTGGGGTGGGTAGTGTTAGGGGTTGGATTTTTTGCAGGGTTATCACTGGGGTAGATTAGTCACAGTGGACAATTTTCCATCCTTGGTCTGTTCTTGAGGGCTCCCCCCTCTCGAATCCCCTGGGAGGATGGTGTCTTCTGGTATGTAGGATTGCTTGTCTTACCTCTGATGGTTAATTACTGTTTATGGTGTATAATAAAATTCATATGAGGTTAGCCAATTACGTGTGCAGCCTTTTTTTCTTTTCTCTTTTGTTTTGTAGAGCCCAGGGGTGGACTGACCATTTGGAAACTCGGGCACTGCCCGAGGGCCCGGGGTCAGTAGGGGGTCCCATGAGATGCTCCTGGTACCTTTTTCATAGGCTTTTTTGAGTTTGGCAAGGACACAAGGGCCCCATGATCCCCTATTGCCTGGTGGCCCCATGACTGGTAGAGCCTATTTAACCCTGTTCATATCTCCAAATATTGACCCATGCAGAGCTTGCAATGACCCTGACTTCCACCTCATATTCAAGCTTTCACCTGAGATCCAAGCTTTAACCTGTGATCCATGCTCTCATATCTTATCCAAGCTTTCACCTCTGATCCAAGCTTTCATCTCTGATCCAAGCTTTCATATCTGATCCAAGCCTTCACCTTTGATCAAAGCTTTCATATGTGATCCAAGCTTCCATCTCCGATCCAAGCTTTCATATCTAATCCAAGCTTTCACCTCTGACCCAACCTTTCATATCTGATCTAAACTTCCATCTCCAATCCAAGCTTTCACCTCTGATCCAAGTTTTTACCTGTGATCTCGTCTTCCTCCTCTGATCCAAACTTCCATTCCTGATCCTGGCTTTCACCTCTGATCCTAGCTTCCATCTCAAATCCTGGCTTTCACATCTGGTCCTAGCTTTCACCTCTGATCCCAACTTATACCTCTGATCCAGGCTTACATCTCTGATCCAATCTTCCCCTCTTATCCAAGCTTCTACCTCTGATCCTGACTTCTACCTCTGATCCAAGCTTCTATCCCTGAACCTGGCTTGCGCTTACTTATCTCTACTTCCTGCAATCTGCTGATTTGATTTAGAGCATCCACATTGCCTGGAAGCATGGTGGCATAAACATGTTTAGCAGGGGCGGACTGACTATTTGGAAACTCGGTCTCTGCCCGAGGGCCCAGGGTCAGTAGGAGGCCCCATGAGATGCCCCTGGTACCTTTTTCATAGGCTTTTTTGAGTTTGGACAAGGTCACAGGGGCCCCATGATCCCCTATTGCCCGGGGGCCCCATGAGTTGTCAGTCCGCCCCTGATGTTTTATTAGTATTACAGAGTTCATTTAAAGGATATGTTCACCTGTCATAACATGGTACATTGTATACCCATATTCAAGGTGTAACAAGATATGAAAAGGACTGGCTCCCTCTCCCCTGCTTTGACAGCTAGCGGGGGGGGGGGGGGTCTTCTCCCCCAGCTAGCTGTCAAAATTTAAAAAAACTGTGCCCGTGCGGGGCTCCGTGAAGAAAGATTAAAACTGTTGACACATTTTTTTGGCCTCTTTGGGAAGAATTCCTTTCGTTTCCTGTCCCAGGAGTAGACCAGATGTTAAAGTGGAACTTCATCCAAAAGGAGATGTTCTGGTTTTCTGCCTCCCCCCCCCCTCCTCTAACACTTTTGACTGCAAGTTTTTTTGTGGGGAGCAGGTACCTAGTTTTAAAAGACCTTATCTGGAGCTGCTTGGCTAAATTGGCTTTTTCTGTGTCCCCTTGCTCACGGATTCCCTCAGGCAGCAAGGTGAAGAGGAAAATTCATCTGGGGTCTGAGGTGGCACATCAGGAGGGTTTGAGAGCTCTCCAAGAAGAGATTCTTAGTCTATGGACTTGTACATAGTTGCTTAGGAATTGTCCTCAAGTTGCAGTTTCCTTGGGCATCCCACACACCCCTCAACCTTATCCAAGTTCAATACCCTTTAATTAAACCAAGAAAACCAAGCTCAAGGACTGTTAACTGTGTGTGCAAGGTTTGAGGAAAGCGCGTGTTGCTTGGCTGTGCAGGACTATTGGGGGACACAAAACTCAGCGACTCCCTAAGGGGTAGTGCTACAGCAGGAAGAAGTAACCTCATATGGAATGAGGTAATATGGCCACTGATGTGCACATTTATAGATATAAGCTGTAATTAAATGTTTTTTAGACTATTGAAATAGAGCAAAAACTGATTTTTAGGTTTACTAGTTCTACTTGATGCACCTCTCTGACCACAGCTCCATTACCTCTTCCACCTCTAAGTTGCAGCCAAGGGTGGCCTTTGTGTGTAAAGGCAGAGGCACTGACTGGCTCCAATTGGAAATTCTGAATGAACCCTCTGCACACTGCTATATATCCTTTTAGTCAAATTTTGCAAAAACATGAAACATGTTTAAAGCTGACAAACTGGAAAATAATACAAAACATGACTGGTTAAAAAAACAAAATAAAACAAAAAAATTTACATTTTAAGCTGACTGGGTCAAAATAATACCTCTATGGGACTGGTTCTTAACCCTGCTCTGCAAAATGCAAGTGCTACAGTGGACATAGTGCCAATATGGGGCAGATAGATACAAGTTATAGGAAATCTACAGGTTCAGGTCTGGTCACTGACCTGTAATGTAAAAAGAAGATATACCTGTGCTCAAATCTCAAAAGCTTTCTACATATACAAAATCCATCAGCTGCTAAATGGGTCCTGACCACATATTAATACTAAAAAATTCTGGATGAACCCTCTGCACTCTGCTATACATCCTTTCTAGCAAATTTTGCAAAAGCCCAGGGATTTTTAGTTCACACATATTGCAATACATGTTAAGGCTGGCCAACCACATCAAAGTAATCCCTCTATGTCCAGTCCCTACTCTGTTCTGCAAATTGTGAATGTGCCAGTGGATATAGTGTTGACAGAATGGGGAAAATAGACAAAAGTTGAAGGAAGAGCTCCAGGTCCAGGCCTGGCCATTGACTGCAAATGCAATAGATACTGTATAAGATATACCTGTGCTCAACTATCAATAGCTCCCAATGGCTCCAATTGTTTTGACACTGATACAAAAAAAAAAATAATCCTGACCTTTGACCCTGACCTTGATTCAAACACCAACCCTGGCACTGAAACTAGATCAAACCTTGATCTAGGTATTTTTTCTTTTCTGCCAGTGAATGATTTTGCATCACAGGGTTCTCACCCTCAGATGTGGCCTGAAAATGGAACTGCCCATAGCAGTTATAATGCAGCTAGTAGATTCTGGGGGACCCTACACCAAGAAAAAAAAGTGTTTGCAGTTCCAATTGACCCTATTTAATTGCAGAGGCAAAACCAGAGGACCTAAAGTCAATTTTTTACTCTTCTATAAGAGTATATTAATATTTAGTTGATCTTTTTTCACATGTACACTATTTTGAACAGGAGTTTGTGGACACCTGACTATCACACCTGTATGAGATTGTTGGACTTCCCATTCCAAACCATGGGCAATAATAAAGAATCGTGCAAATCTCTGCTGTTTTAAAGGGACCAGCCAAGCTTCGAACTATGTATGGGCAGGCTGAATGTACCAAAGTTGATTGATCAATCATCTTGGGTACAACCAGCCTTTTGGATTTTACATGCGATTATTGCTAGCGGTTATTGTAGTTGCTAGCAGTAATCACTGTGTTCTCTTGGCGGGGATGGTTTCCCCTGCTTGGTGAACACGATGGCTCCACTGGAGTGATTCCTCAATTAATAGTTACTGGGTTGATAAGGGAATCGAGAGATGGTTGCAGGAAAGAAAATCACTCGATCTATGGCCACTTTTGGACTATATTGATAGTCGGGGACATTCTGGTGCATGATCAGCTCTACAGTCAGCCAGCACCCATATGGAAGAAAAATATATTTGAAATATATTTTAAAAATATTCTTCTAAAAAAACTATATATTTAACATATATTTGAAATGCTACAATTTTGGCCATATATTCTATATATATCTATATCTATCTATCTATCTATCTATCTATCTATCTATCTATCTATCTATCTATCTTATCTATCTATCTATCTATCTATCTATCTATTATCTAATCTCTATCTATCTATCTATCTATCTATCTATCTATCTATCTATCTATCTATACTATCTATCTTATCTATCTATCTATCTATCTATCTATCTATCTATCTATCTATCTATATCTATCTATCTATCTATCTATCTATCTATCTATCTATCTATCTATCTATCTATCTATCTAATCTATCTATCTATCTCTCTATCTATCTATCTATCTATCTATCTATCTATCTATCTATCTATCTATCTGTCTATTATCTATCTATCTATCTATCTATCTATCTATCTATCTATCTATCTATCTATCATCTATCTATTATCTATCTATCTATCTATCTATCTATCTATCGATATATATATATATAGTATGTTGAAAAGCATTTTTATTACAAAATATATGAAAAATATTTTTTAAAAATACATTTGAAATATACTGCATGTCTTTAAAAATACAAATCTACATTTTTGGAATGCATAAAAAATCTGAAGAATATATTTAAAAAAATATATATTTTTAAAAAATACATATTGTTTATATTTTTCAGATTTTATAGACATACAGTATATTTGAAATGTATTTTTAAAAAAATTTTTCATATATTTTGTAATAAAATGCTTTTCAACATACAGTGTGCATATATATATATATATATATATATTTTTTTTTTTTTATATATATATATATATATATATATATATATATATATATTTATAACTCTGCCCCAAATTACATCACCAATCTTGTCTCCTAATATCATCCAAACAATACTCTCCGCTCCTCGCATAACCTCCTGCTCTCTAGCTTCCTTTTCTTCTCCTCCGATGCTCATCTCCAGGACTTCTCCAGAGCTTCCCCAATCCTCTGGAACTCTCTACCCCAATTAATCAGATTATCGCCTACTCTGCTCACTTTTAGGCGATCTCTGAAAACCTCTCTCTTCAGGGAAGCCTATCCTGCCCTCAGCTAATAATGGAATCTTCTACTCCTCCTACCAGTCCATCCCCCACAGTTATTACCTTTTGTACCACTAGCCCCTCCCTATTAGATTGTAAGCTCCCAGGATCACGGCCCTCCTATCCCTCTTGTATTGAACTGTATTGTTGCTGTATTGTCTCCCGTTATATTGTAAAGCGCTGAGCAAACTGTTGGCACTATATAAATCCTGTATAATAATATATATATATATTTTTTTTTTAATACGGCCAGAATTGTAGCATTTCAAATATATGTCAATATATTTGGGAAGAATATTTTTAAAATGTATTTCAAATATATTTTTCTTCCATGTGGGCAGAACCGCCGTCTGCAGTTCCGGGCTCCCTGGTGGGATAGAAGGCAGCAGAAGGTGGTAGGAGAGGGTCCCTTTCCACTGCTTGAAAAAACAAATCCAGTGGCTACTTAGCTGCAGGAATCATCCCAATATAACCATTCAAACGCCTGCAACATATGAGTATGTCGTGGGGCATGAAGTGGTAAATAAAAAGCTTTCGGTTCCCTTTAAATAATCAAGCTTTATGCCTGGGATCAGGTGTTGAAAAAAAAAAAACCTATACTCTGGGGACCCAGAGATTATTTTGTGCCTGCGCTTCAATAGAACATCAATTTTATATCTTGCAATTCTCAAATCAATACAGAGCATCCTCTAAATAATAACGAAGACATAAAATGAAACAATTTTATTGTCACTTTGTCAAAAGTCGAACCACAAAAGTCAATTTCTGCAGCATCTGCACTCCAGCCCTGATCAGAGCACTTTAGCATATGTGACATAAGAAAGAAGAAAAAACAAATCTCAACAGAAGATGTTCTCTGTAGAAAAATGAAATTAAAAGCTGAAACTTAGCAGAGAAATTATTGCTAATACAAGAAAGATATACAATAGGAAAATATTAAGGTTTTCACAGATAAGAACTGCCTTCCATCCTCGAAAGTGGATTATCACTTAGGAACTGGTTCTTTCTGTGCCAAAATAATTTTTTGGGGTCTCTCTCCTATACCACTTCTTCAATTGAATTCTATTTCTTGCGCCAGCACTCAGCCGAGTTGAAAGGGTCCAATTTACTGGTACATTTTACCATTTGTTCTGAGATTCACATGAGGTGTGCTCCATCTCCCCAAGTCCCCAGTCTATTGATAAGGAAGGTGTTTGGAAAGTCACATTTATGACATAAAGGGCACAATTTGGATGGGGGGAATGACTGAAGGCAGAAGAATACAAGATGAAGAGCCCTTAGATAGAGATTTGCATTTTGTTAAAAAAAATAGTGTCCAATTTTTTGATAAAATATAAAAGACGGAGTTGTATGGCTTCAGCCTACATTGCATTACTTTTTAAGTAAAACATTCATAAAATCTTGATGAAAGAAAAGATGGAATTGCTGCTCTTTTGTATTGGGGTCAGACAAGGGGTGATGAGGAGGCAGAGGCATAGCTTGGATATTTTGCGCTCGGGGACAAACTATAAAATTGGCGCCCCAGCCCCCCTCCCCGTTTAATCACATCAGTGACACCAATGATGGGGCACCTCCCACTGACACCAATGACACTTACCTTGCTGACCCCTGCTCCAGCCTAGGCTCGCTCCCTCTCCCATCCACAGCCAGTATACCTAGTTGCAGCAGCACCACCTGCACGGCACACTTACCGGTCAGCTGTCTGCTTCACTTGCTCTGGCCGCTCCCTCACTCGATCTTCCCGCTGCCGTTCAGCTCCTCCTCTCCAAGCTGCGCCTCCTCGCAGGTGATTGGCCGCCTGTGTGCCTTTCCTGAGGTACAGTTCTGGCGCCCCAATCATCGGTGAGGAGGCGGATTTTGCAGAGGGAGGTACAAGCTGCCATATGCTGTCCAGTGATCCCGAGGGTGTGGCCAGATGACAGGGGCGGCATGTCATCCCGCCCACACATCACGTCCAGGGAAAAGACACCGGACCTGCAGACCTCTCCACCCCTCCTCCAGCAGCTCCTCCTGGACTGGATTGTCGTGGGACTGGGACACAGAGCCAGGTAAGACACTGCAGCCCGATGACCGCTTCTGTACTAAGTATCTCTTCCGTTGGAAGGGGGGCGGCGGCACCACGCCGCCCCCCTAAAAAGTGCTGCCCTAGGCAAACGCCTTGTTTGCCTCGTGGCAAACACGTCCCTGGTTGTAAGCCTCATTTTGGCGCCCCTGTACCTTGGCGCCTGGGTACATATGTACCCCCCACCCCTAGCTACGCCTCTGTGAAGAGGAGCAGCTGCCCAGGGTGCAGTGACACAAGAAGGCAAAGAATGAATGCAGGGTGATACACCTATTCTACAGCATGTATTAACAGTGGAGGATGGGGGTACAGTTCTGGATCCTTGCTCTGGGAGTTGGGTGACCCTGTCTCGGTATTGATTACGGTGTGTATGGGGGGGGGTAATGTGGGTGTTTTTAATACAAGCCCCCTATGTGATAGCATAGACAGGTGACAGGTCCTCTTTATGTAGACATCAGAGGTATATTACACCTCCAATGTCTCCCCTGCCCTCCACTGTAGCTAATCAAGCACAGCAGACAGAGAAGGAGCAGCCTTTGGTTGGGGGGGGGGATGTGATCACCATATAATACATAAGTATATGATCTCCATAATACATAAGGGGGGATATGATCTCCCATGTATAATACATACGGGGGATATGATCACCATGTATAATACATAAGGGGGGGATATGATCTCCATGTATAATACATAAGGGGGATATGATCTCCATGTATAATACATAAGGGGGGATATGGTATAACACATTAGGGGGGATATGATCTCCATGTATAATACATAAGGGGGGATATGATCTCCATGTATAATACATAAGGGGGGATATGATCTCCATGTATAATACATAAGGGGGATATGATCTCCATGTATAATACATAAGGGGGGGGGGGGGGGATATGATCTCCATGTATAATACATAAGGGGGGATCTCCATATGGGGGATATCTCCATGTATAATACATGTGTAAATACATAAGGGGGATATGATCTCCATGTATAATACATAAGGGGGGATATGATCTCCATGTATAACACATTTTATGATCTCCATGTATAATACATAAGGGGGATATGATCTCCATGTATAATACATAAGGGGGGATATGATCTCCATGTATAATACATAAGGGGGGATATGATCTCCATGTATAATACATAAGGGGGATATGATCTCCATGTATAACATACATAAGGGGGGATATGATCTCCATGTATAATACATATGAGGGGGGATATGATCTCCATGTATAATACATAAGGGGGATATGATCTCCATGTATAATACATAAGGGGGGATATGATCTCCATGTATAATACATAAGGAGGGATATGATCTCCATGTATACATATGATCATGTAAGGGGGGATATGATCTCCATGTATAAATACATAATACATAAGGGGGGATATGATCTCCATGTATAATACATAAGGGGGGATATGATCCCATGTATAATACATAAGGGGGGGATATGATCTCCATGGGGGATATAAATACATAAGGGGGGATATGATCACCATGTATAATACATAAGGGGGGATATGATCTCCATGTATAATACATAAGGGGGGATATGATCTCCATGTATAATACATAAGGGGGGATATGATCTCCATGTATAATACATAAGGGGGATATGATCTCCATGTATAATACATAAGGGGGGATATGATCTCCATGTATAATACATAAGGGGGGATATGATCCCCATGATCACCATGTATAATACATAAGGGGGGATATGATCACCATGTATAATACATAAGGGGGGGATCATATGATCTCCATGTATAATACATAAGGGGGGATATGATCTCCATGTATAATACATAAGGGGGGATATGATCATAATACATAAGGGGGGATATGTATACATAAGGGGGGATATGGGGGGGTATATGATAATACATCACCATGTATATAAATACATAAGGGGGATGTGATCACCATGTATGTATAAGGGGGGATACATGTATAATACATAAGGGGGGGACGTGGATACCATGTATATCTCCTCCATGTATAATACATAAGGGGGGGGGGATATGATCACCATGTATAATAGTGAATGATCTCGGTGTGATCAGATGTTATTATGATCCATGTATAGTGAACTCTTTTATTCACATCACCCTCAGAGGATGTTGGCCAGATCTATAGATTATGACATATAACATTTCTCTGATATAATTTGGTAAATGAAGAGTTCTTACCCAGAAGTGAAAGGTTTAACACAGCAATCAAAATTTATTTGTGAATAGTATGGAGTTCTACACTAACACAAACAATCTAGTTACATAAAAGAAACATTATTTAGAAAGCTGTAATATATTACAAAATACAACCAATGAGACAGAAAAGACAGAAGACATTTAGATATAAGTGCAAGGGATATATTCCATCCATATTCACCATGGAACTGGACGTACCGTTTTAATTCTCTTAGCTGGTGTTCTAAAGGGAACCTCTCTCTCCATCTAGTGTCTATTGTTATAGGTCTCTCCTCCATTAGTTTTCATGGAGCAGATCTGATTGGTTGGCAAATCTATTCCCTTTCATAATTGGTTAACTTCAAACCCCCTGTATTTAGCATACACCAACTAAGCAGACCTGGTTTCATCCTATATTCTCCTCTGCACAGTCTACACACATCTGACTCCTCCCGTGGACCCCATCCCGGTAGTGCTCCTGCACTTGACTCCTCTCGGCCTCCCCTCAGAGACTGCAGACATGATACAAGACAAGAGATGATCAGAAATTGCAGACATGATACAAGAGATGGTTATAGGCTGTGGACATGATACAGGTGATGGTTAAAGGCTGAAGACATTGTACAGGAGATGGTTGGAAGCTGCGGACATAATACAGGAGATGGTTAGAGACTGCAGGGAGGATACAGAAGATGGTTAGAGGCTGCGGGCAGGATACAAGAGATGGTTAGAGGCTGCAGGGAGGATACAGGAGATGGTTAGAGGCTGCGGGCAGGATACAAGAGATGGTTAGAGGCTGCGGGCAGGATACAAGAGATGGTTAGAGGCTGCAGGCAGGATACAGGAGATCATTAGAGGCTGCGGGCAGGATACAAGAGATGGTTTGAGGCTGCAGGCAGGATACAGGAGATCATTAGAGGCTGCGGGCAGGATACAGGAGATGGCTAGAGTCTGTGGGCAGGATAGAGGAGATAGTTAGAGGCTGCAGGCAGGATACAGGAGATGGTTTGAGGCTGCGGGCAAGATATAGGAGATGGTTAGAGGCTGCTGGCAGGATACAGGAGATAGTTAGAGGCTGCAGGCAGGACACAGGAGATAGTCAGAGGCTGCAGGTAGGATACAGGAGATGGTTAGAGGCTGTGGGCAGAATACATGAAATGGTTAGAGGTTACAGACATGACACAGGATATGGTTAGAGGCTGTGGACATAACATAGGAGATGATTAGAGGCTGCGGACATGACATAGGAGATGATTAGAGGCTGTGGACATGAAACAGGAGATGGTTAGAGGCTGTGGACATGACACAGGAGATGGTTAGGGGCTGCAGACATGACACAGGAGATGGTTAGAGGCTGCGGTTAGGACACTGAAGATGGTTAGAGGCTGCGGACATGACACAGGAGATGGTTAAAGGCTGTGGACATGACACAGGAGATGGTTAAAGGCTGTGGACATGGTACAGCAGATGGTTAAAGGCTGCGGACAGGACACTGGAGATGGTTAGAGGCTGTGGACATAACACAGGAGATGGTTAGAGGCTGTGGACATGGTACAGGAGATGGTTAGAGGCTGTGGACATGGTACAGGAGATGGTTAGAGGCTGTGGACATGGTACAGGAGATGGTTAGAGGCTGTGGACATGGTACAGGAGGTGGTTAGTGTCTTAGAGCAGAGTAGTTGCAGTGGAAAGCCTGTGTGCATTGAACATGTCCTTGGTAGGCTCGTTAGCTGGCTGCTGTGCAGGCTTGCCCTGTGTACTTACAGTGTCCTTTTTCACTGTGGCAGTGCCAAAGCTGCACCATGTTGAAGATTCGGCCCCACGCCCTTCAGGTCATGCAGCTGCTGTATATGCCAGTGAGAAGAGACTATCACTGCACTTGAGGGGACTGCAGGGACACAGGCAGCTATGGCTGGAAGCAGGACAAGAACAGATGTGATGTGGCCACCGGCTGGAGAAAGGAAGGACTGGATCGGGAGCTCAGAAAGGCTGAGATGAATCTTCTCTCATGCCATGTTTGGCTGCTCCCTGGATTTAAAAAGAAGCCAAGCAGCGCCCTGACACCACTGGGCACCCCTCACGAGTCCACCCACACTGGCTGAAGACCGCCTGAGTCTGCCCGGGTCCGCTCAAGCCCGCCTGGCTTAGGCACTGCGCAAGCACTGAAGTCGGGCTGCAGCCATATTTTTTTATGGGAGGACGCCGTCCATAATTGACATTTATCGACAGCCTGTAAATTAGTTGAAATTTACAAACTGTCCGTTAATTTATGGACGGTCGGCAACCCTGGTAAGCAGAGAGCCGGTAAGTATCAGGCACCGGCTCTCTGCTCTGCCCCTCCAGAACTCACTGGAGTGCTGGGCTGTGGAAGGGGTGGGAGCGGCTGGCTCAGGCTCTTAGTAACCCATTGAGAGGATGAGCCAGGTGCTTGTCCAGGCATCTGCATGGATTCCAACTTAAAAGTCAGGATCTTTCCAGAACCTGGACCGACTGAGTGACGTCAGCCAACAGTGAGCTTTAGCCCACTGCGGGCTGTAAAACGGTCCCAGGAGTGCAGAACAAACTGCACTCTCATGATCCACAGGAGAAGTAGTAGAACCAGAAGAGCTTTGGCTTTACTTCTCCTTTAACATTCTCTGCCATGAGAAGTGACCTGGATATAGAGCACACAGCACACAGCACACAGCACACAGCACACAGCACACAAGGACGTGTCTTGGTTCTGATTTTGTTGAACAGAGGCTGTCAGGGACCATCGCGACGCATGGGTCTGCACATGCGTAGGTGTCTGTCAAGACATGCAGGCAGCAGGGCACTAGGACCCAGGCCCACCCGTCATCTATGACAGTGCTGGGCAGGCACTAAGACCTAGGCTGCGCCTGTCAGGTGCAGGGCGGGCTACTTAAACCAGCCCTGCACAGACACTTGTTGCCGAATGGTCTTTCTGCATATCCTGTTACCTGTGTTGTGAGTACTTTGATCCGGATTGTCTGACCTAGCTGCCTTCTCCTGTCCTGACCCCTTGGCTTGCCTGACTCTGCTCCTGGATGTTCCCCTGACTCTGCTCCTGTTATTGACCCAGCGTGTGACCCGACCATTCTTTGCCTACTGTTTTGTACCGCACCGACCCCCCGGCTACCGACACGGCTTGTTTGACTCTGCCCTTGCTCATTCCTCCATCTATCCATCCATCCATCCCTCAGGGATCCCCGGGTCCCCTCACATCAGACTCTCACCCTGCAGGTGCCTCCGCAGCAGACTCCTCTACCACTGATAGAGATATCCGGTAGCTGCGACCTGGTCCCGGGGTGCTCCAAGTCCATCCCCACCATCAGGGGCCCTGGTGAACAAGTGCTCCGGAACTTAGACTCCGCACTCTGGAGAGGCTCTATCAGGGGACTGATAGAGGTGCTGTCGGGTGGTCCGTTACAGAGGCCGTGTCATCTCTCCGGCAAGACATCATCTACTGAAGAGCGGGAGAAAAAGAAAAAACGAAGCAAAATCTGGCCAAACTCCAAACCCCTTAACCATATGCTGAGCGAGGAGATAGGACAAATTACAGATATTTCGAAGACGAAATGTATCGCAATGCGTTTGAGAATGACTGTGATTATCCTCATGTGGAAGTCAATAAAACCTATTATAAGTGAAATATTATAATAGAGCAGTTTAAAAAAAAAAAAACAAATCACATCAGACTTAGATAATTATTCATTATACAAAAGAGTTGGCTTCCCAGCACTATGGTGGATGGAGGATGGCAGCTGTGTAATTATGAATGATTCAGATACGGGGGGGGGGGGTATTGATTGGGAGGTGGGTCCGCTCCGGCTTAATGCCGCGTTCCTTGGTTTACACTCATCAGTCTGTCGCTTTAATGAGTGACTGCCACATGGTGCGGGGCCAAACTGTTTATGGCGTTCCATATTCTCCGCTCAATCCATCAACTGAGATAGAGAGATAACTGGAGCTGGATGGTGGCGAGGAATCAAATCATACTGTTCACTCCATTTAGGTAAAAAGGATGTTCACTTTGCAAGGGAACTTTCCCTTTGCTTAGTGAATGCAGTGAAAATTCCTTATGCAAAGAATACCAAATCACGAAAAAAAAAATATTTTTATTGTACTTGACTGGATGATGGACGTCAACAGAGCTTCACCTCATTCACTAAGCTGGGGGGGAAATCGCCTTATAAAATGAAAAGCCTGTTTGCCTTTAGTAAATAAATCCCTAAAAATTGCGGTCCATTTAGGTAAAAAGTGTGCACTTTGAAAGGGAACTTTCCCTTTGCTTAGTGAATGCAGTGAAAATTCCTTATGCAAAGAATACCAAATCACGAAAACAATATGTTTACAGGGTAGGACTGACAATTCATGGGGCCCCTGGGCAATAGGGGATCATGGGGCCCTGTGTCCTTGCCCAAACTCAAAAAAGCCTATGAAAAAGGTACCAAGTAGGGGCGGACTGACAACTCATCGGGCCCCCAGGCAATCATGGGGCCCCTGTGTCCTTGCCCAAACTCAAAAAAAAGCCTATGAAAAAGGTACCAGGGGCATCTCATGGGGCCCCCTACTGACCCCAGGCCCTCGGGCAGTGCCCGAGTTTCCAAATGGTCAGTCCGCCCCTGTCGTTTACTTGTACTTGACTGGATGATGGACGTCAACAGAGCTTCACCTCATTCACTAAGCTGGGGGGAAATGGCCTTATAAAATGAAAAGCCTGTTTGCCTTCAGTAAATAAATCCCATCGGGGGAGAAATATTGGAAGGAGTAAAGTTTGGCAATAGTGTAGAGGTAAAGCTAGCATGATGTTTTGGCCTTTAGTCCTTCCAGTAGCTCCCAAATGACCGTCATTTTGAAGGGATTGTCCCTCATTTGAACCGATTGTCCCTCATTTAAAGGGACTCTCTCTCAATTGAAGGGATTGTCCCTCTATTGAAGGGACTCTCCCTCATTTGAAGGGATTCGCTCTTATTTGAACCGATTGTCCCTCATTTAAAGGGACTCTCCCTCATTTGAAGGGATTGTCCCTCATTTGAACCGATTGTCCCTCATTTAAAGGGATCTCTCTCAATTGAAGGGATTGTCCCTCTATTGAAGGGACTCTCCCTCATTTGAAGGGATTCGCTCTTATTTGAACCGATTGTCCCTCATTTAAAGGGACTCTCCCTCATTTGAAGGGATTGTCTCTCATTTGAACCGATTGTCCCTCATTTGAAAGGACTCTCCCTCATTAGAAGGGATTGTCCCTCTTTTGAAGGGACTCTCCCTCATTTGAAGGAAATGTCCCTCGTTTGAACCAATTGTCCCTCATTTGAAGGACTCTCCCCCCATTGAAGGGATTGTCCCTCATTTGAAGGGATCGTCCTCATTTGAAGGGATTGTCCCTCATTTGGAACCAAAGTCCCCTGACCCGTATTCCTTCCTAAAGAATATGTAAACCCAATATTTCCTATTTCTGATATGTGCCCGGACCATGTACTTGTATGAGAAAGTCTCCTGTTCTCTTTGTTTTGCTTCCTTTGTGTGATATCCCAGGTGTTCCTGCCAGTCCTCTGCTTTCCCATTAAAAACTGACCACCACTAGGCATGAGAGTACAGCATGGTCAGTTCTCTAGCTGTGCTGGGAACTCTGCTCTCCTCACCAATGGTCAGACTTATCCTGATACACCTTTCACCCCCCCCACACACACACACACACAGCCATTCACTGGGAAGACCAGTGTATTGCAGTTTCTCCTCCTCCCAAATATGTGCAGCTGAGAACAGAGGGAAAGTAATCACTTGAACAAAGAGGGAAAATGTGCTTAAAGAAAAAATGTGCATGATCTACAGAAGAAGGGGTGCATGATCCACAGGAGAAGGGGTGCATGATCCACAGAAGAAAGGGGTGCATGATCCACAAGAGAAAGGGGTGCATGATCCACAGGAGAAGGAGTGCATGATCCACAGGAGAAGGGGTGAATGATCCAAAGGAGAAGGGGTACATGATCCACAGGAGAAAGGGTGCATGATCCACAAGAGAAGGGGTGCATGATCCACAGGAGAAGGAGTGCATGATCCACAGGAGAAGGGTGAATGAACCAAAGGAGAAGGGGGTACATGATTCACAGGAGAAAGGGTGCATGATCCACAAGAAGAAGGGGTGCATGATCCACAGGAGAAGGAGTGCATGATCCACAAGGAGAAGGGGTGAATGAACCAAAGGAGCAGACATGCGTGATCCACAGGAAAAGGAGTGTATGATCCAAAGGAGAAGGGTGAATGAACAGGAGAAGGGGTACATGATTCACAGGAGAAGGGGTGCATGATCTATAGGAGAAGGAGTTCTGATCTACAGCAGAAGGAGTGCATGATCCACAGCAGAAGGGGTGTGTAATCTACAGAAAAAGAGGTGCGTAATCCACAGGAGAAGGGGTGCATAATCCACAGGAAAAGGGGTGCATGATCTACAGGAGAAGGGGGTGAATGAACCAAAGGAGACGGCATGCGTGATCCACAGGAGAAGGAGTGCATGATCCAAAAGAGAAAGGGTGCATGATCCAAAGGAGAAGGGGTACATGATCAACAGGAGAAAGAGTGCATGATCCAAAAGAGAAAGGGTGCATAATCCACAGGAGAAGGGGTACATGATCTACAGGAGAAGGGCTGTGTGATCTACAGGAGAAGGAGTTCATGATCTACAGGAGAAGGAGTACATGATCCACAGGAGAAGGGGTGTGTAATCTACAGAAGAAGGGGTGTGTAATCCACAGGAGAAGGGGTGCGTGATTCACAGGAGAAGGGGTGCGTGATCCACAGGAAAAGGGTGCATAATCTACAGGAGAAGGGCGTGTGTATTCTACAGGAGAAGGGGTGCGTGATCCACAGGAGAAGGGGTGCGTGATCCACAGGAGAAGGGGTGCGTGATCCACAGGAATAGGGGTACATGATCCACAGGAGAAGGGGGTGCATGATCTAAAGGAGAAGGGGTGCATGATCCACAGGAGAAGGGGTGTGTAATCTACAGAAGAAGGGGTGCGTGATCCACAGGAGAAAGGGGTGTATGATCTACAGGAGAAGGGGTGCATGATCTACAGGAGAAGGGGTGCATGATCTACAGGAGAAGTACATGATCCACAGGAGAAGGGGTCCATGATCTACAGGAGAAGGGGTGCATGATCCACAGGAGAAGGGGTACAAGGCCCACAGGAGAAGGGGTACGTGATCCACAAGAGAAGGGGTACGTGATCTACAGGAGAAGGGGTACGTGATCTACAGGAGAAGGGGTGCATGATCTACAGAAGAACTGGTGCATGATCCACACGAGAAGGGGTACATGATTTACAGTAGAAGGGGTCCATGGTCTACAGGAGAAATGGTGCATGATCCACAGGAGAAAGGGTGTATGATCTACAGGGGACGGGGGTACATGATACACAGGAGAAGGGGTACATTATTTACAGGAGAAGGGGTACATGATCCACTGGAGAAATGGTACATGATCCACAGGAGAAGGGGTGCGTGATCTACAGGAGAAGGGATGCGTGATCTACAGAAGAAGGGGTACATGATCCACAGGAGAAGGGGTACATGATTTACAGGAGAAGGGATACATGATCCACTGGAGAAATGGTGCATGATCCACAGGAGAAGGGGTACGTGATCTACAGGAGAAGGGGTGCAGGCTGTATGTACCCATCCAAAGCAATATGTGCACTAAACAGAGAAAGTGCTGCTCTCCCAGCCAGCCACTATGACATAGTAAGGGGAGAGTAAGGATTGGCTTCAGCCTACATATCGGTGCCAAGAGACCTTATGACTGAGCCCTGGTGGGTGGGGCAGATCCCGTCAGTGCTGCGGTCTCAGTGGTGGAGACATGTAGGCTGAAGCCATTCTTTACTCACATGTCATGGTCGCTGGCTGGGAGAGCAGAACTTTTTCTGTTTACTGTATGATCGCTATACCACACCAGAAGTATTGAAATAGCCGCTTCACGCCCGCCGACAAACAGCTTGGCAAGGGGCTTCAGCCTACATGTCTCCTCCAAGAAAGCACGCCTGCTGATGCATTTCACCCCACCCACCAGGGCTCAGTCATAGACCCGATGAGTGGGGCAAAATGCGTCAGCCGCTGCGGTTTCTTGGCAGTGAGATGAAGGCTAAAGCCAATCCTTACTCACGTGTCATGGTGATTGGCTGAGAGACTTTTCTGTTTACTGTATGATCGCTATACCATTCTAAAAGTATTGAAATAGCTGCTTCACGCCTGAAAGCAAACAACTTCGCAAAGGGATTCAGCCTACATGTCTCCTCCAACAAACCACGCTTCTCTGATGTGTTTCGCTCCACCCACCAGGGCTTAGTCATAGACCTTATGAGCAAGTCCCGGTAGGTGGGGCGAAGCGCTTGCGTCAGTCGCTGTGGTTTCTTGGCAGAGACATGTAGGCTGAAGCTGATTCTTACTCACATGGGAGAGGGGCACTTTTTTCTGCTTACTGTACGATCGCTAAACCATTCCAGAAGTATTGAAATAGCCGCTTCACACCCGCCGAAAAACAGCTCAGCAAAGGGAAGGAAAATATAAGGCTGGAGCTGACATTAGGTGAACTTGTTTCTGTGCCCAGGGTCATTTAAAAATAAATATCTGTAATAAATAAAAGATACAAATATACAAGTGAGCATAGCCTGTATCTTTTTTCTTTAGATGGAAACATAGTAAATCAGTGACCATTGTACATGTACATGTTTTATTTTATTATATATATATATATATATATATATATATATATATATATATATATATACAGTGGGGATGGAAAGTTTGGGCACCCCAGCTAAAAATGTGTAATAATGTGCATAAAGAAGCCAAGGAAAGATGGAAAAATCTCCAAAAGGCATCAAATGACAGATTAGACATTCTTATAATATGTCAACAAAAGTTAGATTTTATTTCCATCATTTACACTTTCAAAATAACAGAAAACAAAAAAATGGCGTCTGCAAAAGTTTGGGCACCCTGCAGAGTTAATATCTTGTACTGCCCCCTTTGGCAAGTATCACAGCTTGTAAACGCTTTTTGAAGCCAGCCAAGAGTCTTTCAATTCTTGTTTGAGGTATCTTTGCCCATTCTTCCTTACAAAAGTCTTCCAGTTCTTTGAGATTTCTGGGCTGTCTGTCACGCACTGCTCTTTTAAGGTCTATCCATAGATTTTCAATTATGTTGAGGTCAGGAGATTGTGAAGGCCATGGCAAAACCTTCAGTTTACGCCTCTTGATGTAATCCCCCGTGGATTTCGAGGTGTGTTTAGGATCATTATCCATTTGTAGAAGCCATCCTCTCTTTAACTTCAGCTTTTTCACAGATGGTATCAAGTTACCATCCGAAATTTGCTGAAATTTTATTTGAATCCATTTTTCCTTCTACTCGTGAGATGTTCCCTGTGCCACTGGCTGCAACACAACCCCAAAGCATGATTGATCCAACCCCATGCTTAACCTCCCTGGCGGTATGATTATTTCAAATTTTTGGTGCTGAAAGCACCCAGGTTACCATTTTTTTGCATGGAAATATGTATTTTTTTTATTGTAGGCTGTAATTTTTAGGAAAAAAAACTCACTGAAATCTGTCGGAACAAGAGTCTAGACAACATCCCGGGTATGATAAAATTTGAAACACAAAATCATAA